TCCAACCTTAGGAGGGCAGAACAGAAACAAGGAGCTTCCCAGGACTCTCAAGCCGGGGTTTGAAGTACACTGGCCCAGGACCCTGCCTGGGAGGAACCCAGACTGCTCTGGGAGCTGCTGGTGGAGATGCTCTGTGGGGCAGACAGGCATTGGTTGGACCCAGGAGGAAACTGTCCCAAACCAGACTCCTAGGGATGCATTCTCACCCGCGAGGACAAGGAAGCCACTAACTGCCCCTTGCTATTCAGTTACAACCATTCAACCAGGAATCAGAGGGTGTCTTCCACCTGGGCCTTTCCTTTCTTTCCCAGAGTTAGCTATGATCTGCCCACTGGGGCAAGCCAAGCCCCTCACCTCTCAGACTCAAGGTCTTCGTACCACTAGGGGAGGACTGGGAATAGTGTTCAGGGTCCTCAGCCAATACCCAGTGGTCCCTGTGGAAGATGGAGCTGGTGCCCTGAAGGCTGAGACAGGTTGAGGGCTCCACCCCAGGCTGCTCGCTCCTGGGGACCCAGTGTGACTGCCACAGTCCTCTTCCAGGCCAGGAGAGGTGACTTACCATCATTCCCCCCACACATGGAACTGGGTGGAAAGAAGGACAAGTGCGTTTCTGTGGGGACACTTCCATGGCCGCCAGCCGTCCCTGCCCACCTGGGTCCCACCAAGGCCTGCCAACCGGGGGATAGGCCCTCACCTGACTGAGCACAGGGCTGGCCCTGGGAGGCTCTCTGGCCATGCAGAGGCAGCAGAGGGGAAGCAGGTGGTGAGTCTGTAGGCCACTGAGCCACAAGATGGCTCTGTTTTCAGCCAGGCACTGCCCAAAGTCATGGTCTCCTTGCCAAGTGGGAAGCAGGTCAGCTGGTGCTGGGGAGGCAGGGCTGCTGGGAGGCAGGCACTGGCTGGAGCACAGTTGTGCTGGTGCCTGGCATAGGTCTGACCTCTCTCCCCACTGGCAGAGGTGGCGGATCAGCTGTGACCTACCCCGCTCAGCACAGGCCTCGGGTCTACCAACCATTCTGCTCTTCTTTAACCAAGGACTTTTCCTAAACTCCCATCTGTGCAAAGACAAAAGACAGTTGCCCCGTTGATGCCCTAGAGATAGGGAGAGGTGGCCTCTGGGGGAGGCGACAGGCCTGAATGTGTGTGAGCCCCAGACCTGCATGTCGAAGCCCTGACCCTTGATGTGAAGAGGTGGGACCTTCGAAGGCCCTTAGGTTCAGACAAGGTCTGGAGGTGGAGCCCAAGGAGAGGAAGGAGCCAGGCCTCTGCATGGCCACTATGGGAAGGCATGGGTAGGACCCTGGAAGAGCACAGCGAGCTGGCGCCCTGACCTGGAGGAGTAAGCATCCTTGTCTAAGGTGCACCATCTGGGGTACAAAGATAGCTGAGAAGGGAACGGGCCTGGCCTTGGTGGGCCTATGCTCTGGGTGGGTGCCTTGGGGAGGGGCTTGCTGCCCCTCTCTGGATGCTGATAACTGATCACTTTGAAAGATGCCTGCAAGCCTGTGGACAATGCTGCCATCTGAGCCTCCTTCCAAGGTCAAGTATCCTGGGCCCTGGACCCTCCAAGGATGGGGGGGTCAAGATCTGTGCCCCTTCCATATTAAACTTAATAGCATGTAAATTCCAGCTCCCACAGTCTGGGGCTGGGCTCAGTGGTAGAGCTGCCTAGCATGTGCAAGGCCCTGGATTCGATCCTCAGCACCACATAAAAATAAATAAATAAAATAAAGGTATTGTGTCCAACTACAACTAAAACATAAAAAAAAAAAAAAAAAAAAATCCAGCTCCCCAGTCATGTTAGCTGCCCGTCAGGTACTCAGGAGCCAAGTGTGGCCAGTGGCCGTCAGTGGAGGGTGGGCATGGAGCACCCCAGGTTCTGCTGACAGCTTTGCTGTCTTGAAACTTGCAGAGTGGGTACCCTAGAGTGAGCCGCAGAGGGAGGTGCCTGAGCAGGGGTGCAGGGGTACAGCAGTGGAGTAGGAGAAGCTTCTTGGAGGGGCCACCCTTGCTTGGAGGCTCCTGGCTCCCAGGAGCAGACCAGCCCTCACCTGAACCTCACCCAGAGCTGCAGAGCCTCCCTTGCCTTCCATGCATGGCCCTAGGCCTGCTCCCAGCTAATCAGAGATTTCCAGCTGAGGCTGGAAATTGTCATTGTCCAGGCCAGTGAGGCTCCAGATGCTCTTGGAGGGCTGGGTCAACCCAGACTCCTGGGCTCCACCTGGTTTCTGATGGGCAGCTCTGGAGGAGCCAGAGACTGCCCTTCTACTGAGGTCCGCAGTGATGCTGACACAAACAGGTATCCCACTCTGAGAACCACTGCTACGGTCTAAAGAGTAACATTCCTGGACTTTTTTAATGCCACAGAGAGAGACATAGTGCTGCGTGGCCAGGGGCTCTTCCAGTCCTGGGTCATGGCTGTGACAGCCAGATCTCTCTGGACTGCCCTGCTCCACTCTCAGCCTTTACATTTAGAAAATGTGACTAGTTAAAAACCAGGTCATCTGCCTCATCCATGGCTAGGTTTCAAAGACAAATTGGATTGTGTGTGTGTGTGTGTGTGTGTGTGTGTGTACGCAGGACACGCAGGACACTGACGCCATGGACCTGAGCTCAGCCAGCAGATGCCCCCATTGTGAGCAAACCATACCATGAACAGACAAGACACGCCTATGTCTTTCTACAATGTCAGATTCATTGAGTAACAATAAATTCACAGGCTACACACTTGCAGTTGTTGTGATTCACTGAATGCCGGTGGGTCACGTGACAGAGGTCAGACACCCACAAGTCCTTTCCTTCCATTTCACTCTTCATTTCTAATATCTGAAACACTCAAGGCACACACCACACTTCATAAAATTTACATATAAGAAACAGAAAGACTAAGAAAGGGTAAGGCAGCTTCAGGGTCAGAGGGCGCTGGGCCAGCAGCACAGGGAGAGGGATATGGACACAGAGCAGAAGGGTCAAGGCGGAAGTCAGATAAGGGTCAAGGAACTCTTTGCACAGAGTTGCCCAGGCAATGGACCCTGGTGGATGCCAGTTTGTTTCAGAGCATGAGTTTGAAGTGTCAGATAGAGGTGTACCCTTGGAGGGGCCAGGATAAAAATGCTGCTAAAGTCCAAGAACAGAACTGGAGATTCACTGCTGTGGCGATTCTCCTGGGCAAGGCTAGTGAGGAGTGACCAGGTGACAGGGTACAGTGCCACCGTGTCCACCCTCAGAGGGCTCCTCCTTTTATGGGCCTTGCGTTAAGCAGGTTCTGTCTGGTGAGTTTGATAAGCTCCCATGTCTGGTGTTCCTGATGAGATTTGGGATGGCCACGTGTCCAGGTGTTCCTGATTTAGTTTGATAGGTTGGCATATGTAAATTATCTGTTAATTTAGGCCTTATGGTGGTGCCAGGCAGATGATGGTTGTTCAAACAAAGTGTAGAGTCCTTCTATCTTGGCACCTCGACTCGAAATGACTCAGGGCAAATTCCTGTTGCACAAAACGGAGTCACTCAGGAAAAGGCACAACCTGAGTGCTACTGTTCTGCACACGATGGAGTCACCCAGGACAGGTGCAGCCTGAGAACTGCTGTTCTACATACCATGGAGTCACTCAGGGCAGGCACAGCCTGAGAACTTCTGTTCTACTACACACCATGGAGTCACCAGGGCAAGTACAGCCTGAGAACTGCTATTCCATGCACCATGGATCACCAGGGCAGGTGCAGCTTGAGAACTGCTGTTCTGTACAACATGGAATCACTCAGGGCAGGCGCAGTCTGAGAGCTGCTGTTCTACACACCATGGAGTCATCCAGGGCAGGCGCCTCTAGAGAGCTGCTTTTCTACACACCATGGAGTCACTCAGGACAGGCACAGCCTGAGGACTGCTGTTCCACACACCAAGGAGTCACCTAGGGCAGGCACAGCCTGAGAACTGCTGTTCCACACACCAAGGAGTCACCAGGGCAGGCACAGCCTGAGAACTGCCATTTCACACACCATGGAGTCACCCAGGGCAGGCACAGCCTGGGGACTGCTGTTCCACACACCATGGAGTCACTCAGGGAAGGCACAGCCTGAAGACTGCTGTTCTGCACACCATGGAGTCACAGGGGCAGGTACAGCCTGAGGACTGCTGGTCTACAACATGGAGTCACTCAGGGCAGGCACAGCCTGAGGACTGCTGTTCTACACACCATGGAGTCACTGGGGCAGGCGCAGCCTGAGGACTGCTGTTCTGCACACCATGGAGTCACCCAGGGAAGGTGCAGCTTGAGGACTGCTGTTCTACACACCATGGAGACACTCAGGGCAGGCACAGCCTGGGGACTGCTGTTCTATACATCATGGAGTCACCCAGGGCAAGCACAGCCTGAGAGCTGTTGTTCCACACACCATGGAGTCCCTCAGATGAGGGTACAGCTCACTTCCCACATATCCTATTTTGCAACAGCTGGTCTTGGGCTCAGAAGTCCCCTCTGTGGCTCTGCTGGCCACTCCCTTCACATCGGGCTCAAGGTCAGACACTGGAAACTACTGGAGAATGGTATAGGCCCAATTCACCTCTAGGGCCACGGGCCTCTCTCTGTTCCTCCCTCTGGTTTGCCCACAGGTTGAACGGTGACTGTGCAGGAACAAGGAGTGTGGAGGTTGACTTAGGGTACAGGATGGTCATAGCATCAACTGATGAGAGATAGACCTGCCACAGAAGAGCAGGCCTAGGCCAGGCCACGGGCTCATTTGTCCCCTTGTCCTGGGCTGCGTCCACCCAAGACAGGCCTGTTACCTTCCACAGCTAGTGAGAAGTCCTTTCCTCTGCCAGGCCGGGGTCAGAGGGAGGGTAGAGGCCCACCCACGCCCTCTAGGTGCTCCGGGAAAATCCATGTACTCTGGGCCAGGCTTCAGTCATGCTCCCTTTATAGAGGAGGACGGCCTGCACAGGGGACTCCTGCAGCCCTTGCACAAATGTGGCCCCTCCTTTTACAATATCGTGTCTCTTCCAGGCCCAGCTCTCTCAGGCCTTAAACGGGGTTTCCGATAAGGCCAAGGAGGCGAAGGAGTTTCTGGTCCAGCTCAAGAACATCCTGCAGCAGATCCAGGTGAGCATGCTCTGGTCATCCTGCAGCAGATCCAGGTGAGCATGCTCTGGTTCACTCAGCAAGGACAGGTCCCCACCTGCCAGGTAGGAAAAGGAGGGGCAAGCCTTGCCATGGGCACTCAGCCCCACACCAGAGGGCTGGTGTGTCCTTGCACATCCCTGCATGTTGCCTGCCACTGTCTGCTGACATGCACGTGACACTGACGTGGGATGGAGTTTATAGGAGGCAAGCAAGCAGAGGCCACGTGCTGGGGAGCTGGAGAGATGTGATCCAACTGGGCCATACAGGTTGTGGCAGTGGTGCCCTGTGCCCAAACAGTCCCATGTAATTGAGGCACCAAAACGTAAATCCAGGTGTTCACTGAGCACCTGCACTGTGCCCGACTGAGCCTGAGAAGCATCCTAAGCTCAGTCAGTCTTGCTTCAGGGATCCCTGTGTAGGGGAGGGAGTCCCCACAGGTAGGTGCACACAGGGCCGAGCTGTAACAGATCTGCACAGCTGGCGCAGAGGAGATTGAGGGCCCTTGAATTCCTAGCCCGTGAGAACTGGTGAGCCTTCTGCCACCATGATAGACGCCTGAGACAGTCAGCTCACGAGGAGGAGAGGCTTGTTCAGGCTCGTGGTTTCAGCAGTTTTTGTCCGCACTGCTGGACTCCACTGCCTCTGGGCCTGTGGTAGCCCAGTAATCCTCCGTGGGAACGTGGGAACGAGTGGCAGAGGAGGCTGCTGGCCTCCTGGTGGCCGGGAAGCAGAGAGAGGAGGGGCTGAAGTCCCAAAGGTTCCTTCAGGGGCATGTCCCCAGCAGCCTAACCTCCGCCCACCAGGCCTCCCTGCAAAGGCTCCACCACTTGCCAATAGCACCACAGGTTGGGGACCAGGCCTTTGGGGGATGCTTACAGTCCAAACTAGAGCAAAACCCATGCCCTAATAAGCTAACCTCAGATGACATCCTCGGGGCATCTGAAGTATGATGTCCTAGTTTTTCACACACACAGGATGGATTAGTTTATCCAGACTCTATCACAGAGCACCAGAGACAGGGAAGCTTGAACAGGACAGATGCACTCTCTGTCAGAAAGGCTGGAAGTGACGGCCATGACAGGTGGATCCCTCTTGAAGCCTCTCCTCAGCTTGCAGATGCTCTCTTCTTCCTGAGTCCCTGGGTGACCTCTGTGTGTCTGTCCTGCTCTCCTTTTTTTGTAAGGACCCTGTCAGGTTGGATTGGGACCTGCCTTATAACTTCATTAGATCTCCATGGCCTCCTAAAGGCCCCGTCCCCAGGCACAGGCACTTCCGAGGTCCTGGCCTAGGACTTCACCATGACACCAGGGGGACTGAAGCAGAGGTCTGGACCCACACTGACCGAGGTCTGAGGACCTTCCTTCAGGCTGACAGAGCCAGACCTAGAGCGAGGACATTGCTTCTTGTTTGCTTCACCTTTTTCTGATTATAAAAAGCCAAAGAATGTGTCATAGAAATTTTGGAAAGTAGGAAAAATAGCGCTGAGTCCCCGCCTGCAGGGGACGTGCACACACTAGCGGTGGCACAGTGTCTGAGGCGGCCTGGGCCTGGCTCTGGAGAGTGTTCCCCAGGCGCAGGAGCCTCTGGAGTGGTCTGTGAGGGTGACGACCCCCAGGCGTGAGGCATGCACAGGTCAGCCCTGGCGCACTGGGACCCTCTCCCGTGGGGCAACATAGGGGGCTCAAGGCTTCCCTCGTGGGCTTTCGGTCACCTTCCCTCAAGCTCTCTGTCTCCCCAGGAGAATGGGCTGGACTACGAGGCCTGCCTGGTGGCTCAGTGTGACGCTCTGGTGGAGGCTCTGACGCGGCAGAAGGCCAAGCTGCTCACCAAGGTGACAAAAGAGAGGGAGCACAAGTTGAAGGTAGGCAGCTGGGCTGACCCTGGGGTCCCTTTCATGCCCTCCTGCCCAGTGCTGGACCTTAGTTGAGGGGCCAGGGAAGGAAGGACGTGGTGAGGAGGGGCTGAGCCGCTGGTGGGTGGCGCTCAGGGGACAGTCACCACCCATGCTCCCTGCAAAGCCAGGGCAGGCAGCAGCAGCCACCATCTCCCACCTCCCACCACCTCCCACCTCCTGTCCTCATCTGTAGAGTGGGAGCAACCCATCACAATGGCAAGGCTGGGCTCTGCCCCGGCTCCGGCTCCGGCTCTGTGCCTTTCTTCAGTTCTCTCTGATGTATACTGTCATCCCTGCCAGGGGACGGCCAGCGACCCCGCCCCCCACTGCACCCCTGGCAGGTACCTCTGCGCTCTGAACTGAGGAGGGCTGTCACGTCGGCCCTCCTGTGGTGTCAGGGGGCGTTTCCTAACCAAGCAGGAAGCATTACTTTCAAGGAGAGGAGGAGGGAGTATTGGCGGAAGCCCCGTGTCTGGTGATGCAGCCATCCTGGGGCCATCCCTGCCTGCTGGCCAGTGGAACAAGGCCGGGGTGGCCACAGACACAGGCGGAGCTCAGGCCAGGCCCTCTCTCCACACTGCTCCGTTCCAGAGTCTGTTGAGGGAAGTGGCCCCTCTAGTCCCCAGTAGGACCGAGCAGAGTGCAGGAGTGGGCTGGCCAGGGCCCCTCCCCACTGGTTTGCTGACTCTTGGGACCTGGCTGCTCTTCCTCTGGGAAGGCAGTTGCTGAGAGGAGTCCCTGCTGCAGATGGTTTGGGACCAGATCAACCACTGCACGCTGAAGCTGCGCCAGTCCACAGGGCTGATGGAGTACTGCCTGGAGGTGATGAAGGAGAACGACCCCTCTGGGTTCCTCCAGGTGAGTCGGCCACACCAGGACGAGCCTGGGTGTCATCCCGATCACAAGTGCCAGCCCCAGGCCAGCCCAGGTGTTAGGCAAGGCCCGTCCACAACGCGGCACTGTGGGGAGTCCCTGTGCTCGGGCGTGCAGAGGTCCAGCTCGCCCTCAGCCAGGGCCCTCAGCAGCTCTGACCCTAGTTTTGCAGCCTCCATAGAAGGAGAGGTGAGTTAGCATGGTCTCCAGTGGCCAGATGCCAACCGTCAACATCCTCCCCATGCATGGGAAGGGCAGTCTGCCAGATCAGCCAGAGAGACTGTCCAGGGAGAAGCCAGGTAGAGTCCACACAGCTTCCCCTCAGGGTGCAGTCCTGCAGGCCTGGTCGATGACCAGCTAGTTCATCCCTCTTGGGGTCACTGCTATGGCCCTCAGGCTGGCTCTGTCATGCATGTCTCTTGGGAACACAGCAGTGATTCAGCCTCTGTCTGGGGAAAATGACGAATCCTCTTGGTAATTCCCAAAGAAGTGTGCATGGAGCCCTGGCTCTGCAGCAGGTGTGCAGACATCTGATGAGCAGAACTTCCCAGCCAGGGAAGAGCTGTGGGTGCGATTCAGCCGGAGTTTGCTACAAAAGCCACAGAATGATCAGAAGAGATGCACTGGGGGGAGTGGGCTTCTGTGCTCAGAGGACTGGGGCACACTTTCTTCACACCCTGGGACAGACGACTAGTGTTTCCCTTGGCAATGTACCAGAGCTGGCAAAGCAGATGTAATCAAGCGTGGTTTTGCATATTTTTTGAAAAGCATCTTTACTTCATGAAAGGGTTTGACCCAATTTCTCTAAATATCTAGTGCTTCTTTACTTTTGTCACCATCACACTGTTGAATCACAATTCGAACAAGACAGTGAGTCTTTACCCAGCCAGCACTGTGCAGTAGGGGTGGCTTCATCTCGCCCTGGCTCGAGGACATGTGCTCAGCACAGCCCCTTCCCATCCCTGAGCCCACAGAGACCAAGCCCCTGGCTCCCGTCCTTCACCCTTCGCTGTTTTCTACAAACCCAACACTCGACCTTGTGCTCCCCTTCAAGATCTCCGATGCTCTGATCAAGCGCGTGCAGTTGTCCCAGGAGCAGTGGGTCAAAGGTGCCCTGGAGCCGAAAGTGTCTGCGGAGTTTGACCTGACCCTGGACAGCGAGCCACTGCTGCAGGCCATCCACCAGCTGGACTTCATTCAAATGAAATGTAGGGGTGAGCCACGGTTGGCCCTCGTTCAGCCAGTGCTTCTTCCCAAAGAGGCATCTGGTCTGAGGGGCAGCTTGGTGCTGGGAGCCCATGATGCTCTCTGCCACAGGCAGAGTGGCAGGGCAGGGTCACCAGGTGGTGGGCCTGACTGTGGAGCTGGGTGGGGTGGGTCCTCTGTCTGAGCCTGAGCTTCCTCTTGTGTTCACTCACAATGACCCATGGAGTGTCCACCATGTGCCAGGCTGTGGCAGGTGTCCTGTGTGCAGTGGTGAACAACTCCCTCCAAAGACTGGGCTGCTCTTCTAGAGAAGGAAGGGGACAGTGCGCAGACAATGAGAGATGTGAGGCCTGGCAGTGGCAGCTGGTGCCAGCGCGAGGCAGAGTGGGCAGCGGTCAGGGGGGCTGTTTCTCAAGGGGAGGAGAAGGGAGGGACAGTCTAGTGAGAGCTGAGAGCGGGCGCTGGGGCTTCGCAGGCAGAGGTAAGTTTCCTGTGTCTCCAGAAGAGCAGGAAGGTCAAGGCAAAAATCGAAAGAGGGGCTGGGGCTGGGGCTGGGGCTGGGGCTCAGCAGTAGAGCACTCGCCTCACATAGGTGAGGCACTGGGTTCCATCCTCAGCACCATATAAAAATAAATAAAGGTATTGTGTCCATCTACAACTAAAAAATAAATTTAAAAAAGAGCAGAGGGAGCAGGAGAAGATGGCAGGAACCAAGGGGGTGCACGGTTAAGGTTGGGTAAAGTCTATACAACTTGGCAGGCCCAAAGGCAGCAAGGGACAGCCAGAAGGAGTCCTGCCCTGCAGGTGTGCCGGGAGAGGAAGCGAGGGCACCTGCAGGATCTGAGAACCCAGGCAGGCCTGACCTTCAGAGTGTGGAGAAGCGGGACTCTTGATACCCCAGGCTCGCTCCCACAGTTTGCACATCCATGAGGTCGGGAAATGCCACCCTCCCAAGCCACCTGCCCTGGGTGTGAATGAGATGCAGTGCCAAGGAGCAGAAGGGCCGGGCAGAATGGGGAAGCTGCAGCTACCCCAAAATGGGCACACCACGGGAGGAGGCTTGGCCGTATCCTCATGCTGCTCCTGCAACAGGGAGTCATGGGGAGTAGAGACTGCGCTGAGGGCATGGGGAGGGACCCATGGGTGGGGGTCAGGCTGTGCATGGCCACTGAAAGCACACCTAAAATCAGGGGATTTCAACCAGCTGGACCTTCAGCCAACATCTGGAAAATAGTGACCCCATTCTTGGAGTCAAATTGAAATATCAATCTTGTCTATTTTCCTTTTTGAAAATGTCAGAGTGGATTCTATCAATTTCTAAAATCTCTTGAGCCCAAAGAGAGCTAGAACCTACAACGTTGTCCCCTCTTAGTTCAATAGAGCTCAGGGCACACCCAGTTTGCGTTCCTAATTCCAGGGAGTGGCATCCATCATCCAAGGTTGCTCCTCTGTCCCGGGCCCTGTCCAGGGTTGGAAAGCTTCTGGTTGATGGTTGCAGGCATCTCTGCACCTGTGTTAGTCAGTGCTCCATCACAGCACAATGCCTGAGGTGACTGGCCTGGAGCAAAGGTCCACTTGGCTCACAGCCTGGGAGGTTTTAGTCCCAAGTCAGATGGTCCCGTGATATGTGTCGAGGGGTCCTAGCATGGTGAAGCTAGGACATGAGAGCAAAAGCTTTCATGTCATGGCCAAGAAGCAAAGGAGAGACAGAGGAAGGGGCTGGGTCCCCTCCAAGGTGGCATCAGTTCCCAGTGAAGGGAGAACCTCCCCTGGCCCCACTCCCAAGGGCTCCCCTATCTTCCAGCAGCACAACACTGGGGACCAAGCCTTGAACATGAGCCTTGGGGGACACTGAAGGTAAACCGTAGTGTCCCTCTTCCCCGCCCTGGTGTAAGGCTGACTCTTGCCTAGTTCTGCACCCTGCCAAAAGGGCTCGCATAGGCCCATGCTAGGTGGACTGTGCTGAGCTACCTCAAGTGCTCCTCACAGGCCTGAACATTACTGCCACGGCTCTTGGTGGCGGGTGACAGGCTTGGGGGTAGGCCATAACCCCAGTTCTGAGATCAGGATATGCTGTGGGGTGAAGAATGACACAGGACCTGCACTTCCCTGTCCCCAGCCCTCTTTGGCCTGGGGGTAACCCAGGTGTTTCCTGGGGTGGGCTGGGGCATGAGGACAGGGGTGCTACGCTAACCCAGTGGCCCCGTCACAGTGCCACCCGTCCCCCTGCTGCAACTGGAGAAGTGCTGCACTCGGAACAACAGTGTCACCCTGGCCTGGAGGACACCGCCCTTCACCCACAGCCCTGTGGACGGCTACATCCTGGAGCTGGACGACGGGGACGGGGGGCAGTTCCGGGTGAGGCCTGCTGCTGGGCGTGGGGGGCATCCTAATGTGAGGCTGTGAGTGGGCAACTGAGGCCACCCTGAGGAGGGGCCACAGGATGGAGAGCTGGCAGCTGGGATTGGAGACTGGGCTTCCCTGCTGCAGGCTGTCTCTGGCCCCCGCCGGCAGCAGCGTCTATCATAGAGGACACAGGGATGACTGGCACAGGCACGAGGGAGGGACAGAGCCCAGGGATGGCACCACCTGCAGGCTCCTCCCTCTTGTCTCCCCCGCTGGGGTGCAGGCCTTACCAGCCTCATGTGCTACCCAGGACCTAGCAGGGCAGGCTTCCTCTTGCCTCATCTCATCCATGTCATTGCCATTCAGGGGATAGGCTTGTCTTGGGGGGTCACATTCTAGAGGAGGAAGCTCTTGCTAGGCCTCAAATACCTGGCAAGGAGCTGGGTGTGTAGAAACACATCAAAAATGGCTGTTGGGTTGGGGTGACATACTGCACTCATGGCCCCCAGGTGGACTGACTTGGGGACTATAAGGGCTCTTAGTGAGCCTGAGTGCAACTTCTTCCCAGAAACCCTAGGACACCCCTGACCCCACCAGGTCAGAACCCTGCAGGACTGTCCCTGGAGCTTCCACTTGGCCAGGCCCAGGTGCACATGCATGCAGGGAGCACAGCCCTGGCCTTTCTCCATCACCTCCTGCCCACTAGATCAGCAGCCACTGGATTTCTTGCAGTTCTTCCCCAGGGAACCACCCCCACTGAGCAGCTTACCAAAGGTCAGGGCTCCCTTAGTTTCTCTTAAAGGGATTTAGGTACCTGTCATTTCATTTTTTTTTGGGGGGGGGGGGGGGGGAAATACAACCATGCAGTTCCTTGAGAATTGCTGAGTGTGGGTGGGCATGGGCTAGGGGGGCGTGAGTCAGAGATGGTGGTCTGTTGGGGGTGCACACCTTGGTCCCTCTGTGGTGCTCCCCCATCAGACAGCAGGTATGGGAACAGAGAAAAGGCTGTGGACATGAAGAGGAGGCCCCACAGAGCGCAAAGGTGATCCCTCTTCTTTGAGTCATGGCCACCGAGAAAGCCAGACCCAAGGGTTTAGGCTCAGGAGGAGCGGCCCTGCAGCTGGTGGGTGGCTTTGAACGGAGACAGACCTGCATTTGAAAGGTGGCCCTTCAATGGACTAGCTGCAATCCAGGGACAGCTCCCAACCTTCCCCAGGTCTCCTTGTGTGCAGAGTAAAAAACAAAATAACAATGTTTCCATGTTGTGTGACACTTACAAGACCTTAGCAATGCCTGGCACAGAGGTAACTGTCAAGAGCTTGGATGACAAGTAAACAGGGACCCCCCACACAGGAAAGCAGGGAAGGAGCCTGCACACAGTGAGCAGTACAGAGTTACAGGAGAACCTGAGGCCGTGCGACCAGGGACAATAGGACCAGCATAACTTGGAAGTGAATGGGAAAGAAAGTACACCCTAGGAAAGATACTTGGGTCTGTCTGACTCAGAGGGTCTCATCCTCTTGGAAAACAGCATCTCCCAGGGGCCCAGGAGCAGAAGGTGCCAATCTCTGGGGTAGGAGGGGATGTGGGAGCCAGAGTCCCTTAGAGCTTCAGAGTCTTTTGACAGGGTCACCTTGGCAGAGACAGGACGTCCTTGGGCAGTGTCCTAGCTAGCTGAAGACCTGCAGACCCGCCTCCCTGGGACCCCCACATGCCTTGCAGCCTGCAGGCACAGTGACCAGGAGGAAGATGTTTCCTCCCAGTTTGGACAAGTTCTGGGACCAGGCCACAAGAAGTTGTAATTTCCCTTATTCAAGAACTTCTTTTTGGGGCTGGGCATGGTGGCCACATCTGCAATCCCAGCAACTCAGGAGGCTGAGGAAAGAGGATCGCAAGTTCGAGGCTAGCCTGGGCAACTTAGCAAGACCCTGTCTCAAAATAAAAAATAAAAGGGCTGGGGTGCAGCTCAGTGGTAGAGTGCCCCTGGGTTCAATCCTATTGCTGCACAAATAAACAAAATGAGTAACTTCTGTTGGGGCTAAAGCACTTTTAGTGGCCCCACGTGCCTGAGAACCATCTGCTGAGGGCTTTTCCGAATGCCTGAGGGCCTAAAGAGTGGTCCTCCTTACTCAGGAAGTGTACGTGGGCAAGGAGACCCTGTGCACCATTGACGGGCTGCACTTCAACAGCACCTACAACGCCAGAGTCAAGGCCTTCAGCACTGCTGGCCTCGGGCCCTACAGTAAAACCGTTGTCCTGCAGACATCCGATGGTGAGCACTACCTCTGGGGAGGGGCCATCCTTTCCTGCTGTGTGTGCCTCCTCAAGACCTGGGGCTTGGGGGCAGGAGGGTGCCACCCGTGGGCTGCAGAGGATGGAGCCTTGTGACCTGGGCCCCATAAGCTGGGTATTCTGTGGACTTCCTCTTTCACTCCTAGCATCTCTGAAGTATATGGGAGGTACTGGGAACCAGGACTCCCTGAGGTGCCCCAGGTTGGGACTAGAAGCCTGATTGTCTGTTTCTTGGCGAGGCTGAGGGACAGGCACCTGGAGAACACAGGGCAGGAAGTGTGTGTGTGTTTCCCATGCAGAGACCGCCGGATGTGGCTGGGGATTGGTGAGTCTGTCTCTGAGCACATTAGAGGCTGCCAGTAAATTCCATCGCCTGACCCTTCTTCTCTTGCCTTCTTCCTTTCCAGTGGCCTGGTTCACATTTGACCCCAATTCTGGGCACCGGGACATCATTTTATCCAATGACAACCAGACAGCCACCTGCAGCAGCTACGATGACCGGGTAGTGCTGGGCACAGCCGCCTTCTCCAAGGGTGCGCACTATTGGGAGCTGCACGTGGACCGCTATGACAACCACCCAGACCCTGCCTTTGGTGTGGCCAGGGCCAGTGTGGCCAAAGACATGATGCTGGGCAAGGACGACAGGGCCTGGGCCATGTATGTGGACAACCACCGCAGCTGGTTCATGCACTGCAACTCTCACACCAACAGGTGCGTGACCCGCCGCCCTCCCTGGACATGCACGTGGGTCTTCAGGTCCTGGTGGTCTGATAAGGACCAGGGAGAAGTGACTACTTCCTGCAACCCCAATGAGAGCAGGTGACAGTGATGGGAGCCACACCTGCCCAGCAGGCAGCCGTGGGGTGGCTTTCTTTCTGGTTTCACTCCACTGCAAAGTCATCCAGTCAAGCCTGTGTTCCATGGGGCTTTGCAGAGGAGGCACACATCACTGCCATTCCTGGCGGGACCCTATTACTGCCCCAAGGGATGAGGAGCTTCAGGGAGCTGACTCACTGGGCCCAGCTCCAGCGTGCTCTGGGCCCACCAGCTCCTGCAAACAGCCCCTGGGCACCTTCTTCACCTGGGAGGACCCAACTGAAGTCAGGGAAGCCAGGTCTGGTCTGGACAGGAACTGGTCTGAGGGTGCTCAGAACCGCCTGCTGCCCACCACCTTTTCACTGGTAGTGCCCTTGGCTCCAAACCTTGGGAAGCTCTGTCCCTCTGTGTGCTGCCCCCACTCCCTCCACCCCTGGCCCACAGTGGGGCCAGGTCCAAACTCACCAGCCCTATTGCTTCTTGCTTAAGCCAAACAAGCACCCAGAGACAGTTGCCTATGGGAGTGACAACCTCCTTTAACCCTATGAAGTAGTTAGCATTGCCATTTCACAGACACTGGCCCAGCCACAGGGACTGAACCGAGGATCCCAGCCCCTTCTCAGGGTGGTATGGGCACACCCCTGCCAGGGGCGGACAGCCTTCTTGGTCTTTCGCTACCTTTGCCAGCCCTTGGGTGCCTCGGCAGTGGGATCTCTAAGAAACGGGGGCCAGAAGAGAGCACAGGGGAATCACCTCTTTACACCCCACCCCCACACCGTGGGTTTGGAGCAGGTGCAGGTGAGCGCCTTCCCAGAGGAGGCCTGCTGCCCTCACCACGGCACTGGGGAGTCGGTAAGAGCACCCACAGCCCAGTTGTAGTTCCCTCCTCCTGGGTATGGGATAGGGCCCCGCCCCTGAGCCCAGCCCTCCAGGAAACCTGGCTCTGGAGGAACACCCTCCTGATTAGCCAGGTCCTCCCGGACCTTCTCATTGCTCAGGTCGCTGTCCAGCTGCCTGTAGCTAAAGGGAGGGATAGCCTCAGCCCAGAGGGACAGGGCGAGGTTGGCCAGGACCTTAGGAGCATTCCTCACTTAAAATCCCTCCCCACCCAGAGGGCACTCGATGCTTCTCTCCAGCCCAAAATGCAATTCATCAACTCTGTCAAGCACAGAGCTGCTGACATAGTCCCTGGCTGTCCCTGCCACTGCAGGATGAGGACCAAAGTGCTTGATTCACTACTCATTGCCTTCCCCTGCCACATGCTGCTCTTCTAGAGTCCCTAGGGTGGTTCTGGGGAAGACAGCTGGAGGGTGGGGTCTTTCTGCAGGCTGGGCATCTGCACGTCCATCAGGGCCAGCAGCCTCACTGGGCTAGGAAGAAAGGGGGACCAAGTGAATTCTTTTCCTTGGCAGTACCCACCCCACATCCAGTTTCAGATGGAACCCACCTGGCGAAACCTTAGTTCCCTGGGGCACAGGTCTTTTGGAAAGAAGGGGTTGAGCAGTCTTTGCCCCAGGGTAGACTCTGTTGTGTGGCCAGTTCATGGGGTACAAGCACTGCCAGAGGAGGCTCCCAACCAGCATGAACACTCCCCGCCCCTAGGTATTGAGTTTGAGGTGGGGCTGTCCTGTTGTCCCTGGCTGCATGGCCTTGGGTTCTCCTGTAACTGTGCTGCTCAGTGTGTCCAGGCTCTTCCCTACTTTCCTGTGTGGGGGCTTCCTGTTCACTTGTCATTCCAAGCTCTTGACAGCACCCTGGGGCAGCCAGGCAATAAGTCTTCCTGGGACTTCTCTCCTCAGGACGGAAGGCGGAGTGTGCAAGGGGGCCACAGTGGGCGTGCTGCTGGACCTGAATAAGCACACCCTGACCTTCTTCATCAATGGGCAGCAGCAGGGGCCCACGGCCTTCAGCCACGTGGACGGAGTCTTCATGCCAGCCCTCAGCCTCAACCGCAACGTACAGGTACCTCACGCCTCTCCAGGCCCTGACTAGCTGGGTGGCTGGCTCCCTGCTGCTCATCCACCAGCCACTGCCACACACTTGAGCCAAGTAGACTAGAGCCTCCTGGAAGCTGTCCTCTGCCGGGATGCACTGTGAGGTGTTCACTTGGAATGAGCAGGGCTCCATGGTGGCAGTGTGTGGAGGAGCTGGGCTCAAGGCCTGGGCAGGTGCCAATGGTGTTGAGGCCTGGGACAGAGGTGCCACGAAAAACAGAGGATGGGCAAGGGGGAGAGAACTGTGACGCAAGGACTGGCTGCCATCCTTAGCCTCTAGCAGAGTCCTCTGGCTGGGCGGGGCAGATCTGCCTTGAGCCTGCTAAGCCTGCACAGGGTTGAGGCCATTGCAGTTTAAGAAGGGCCTTGAGGTGGGCTGCGAGGTGGGCTGCTAGTCTACGAAGGTGGGGGACAGGACAGCCCCAGGAGACAGGGAAGGAAAGAGGGCAGCAGGAAGATGGCGGGCATGAGTGCCCAGCCGTGAGAACCAGTTGCCTGCTCAGCAGCATGACCATTGCTAACAATGCTGGGAGCGTGGTCAGCCAGCCACAGGGCTCCTACTGCGAGGAAAGAGGCCCAAGCCAACCAGAACCTTAACCAGCATGTCAAGTGGCCCAATGAGTAAAGCCCACAGGCAGAGCCACCCTGGGCTTTGCCCATGATGCCCTCCAGCAAGCAGAGAGCATCCTGTGACTCTGTGCAGGGGCAGCACCCTGCGTCCATGGCAGCCTCTCAGCAACCCCTTCTTTTCCAGGTCACCTTGCACACGGGACTGGAAGTACCAACCAACCTGGGGCGGCCAAAGCTGTCAGGCAACTAGCCTGGCAACTCCGGCTGTCCAGCAACTGTGCTGAGACACCTGCAGACCAAGTGCCACTCTGTCCCCACTAAGCTCACATAGCTCAGCAGGCACAACAAGCAAGCCCTGGGCACAGCCAGCTGGGAACGAAAAAGTCTGGAGCCAGCTTCTTCAGGGGATGGGATTGGTCTGCAGGCCACATGGTGGCTGCCACTGTCAGTGGTCAACAGGGCAGGGATTCACCTTTAACCACTCAGCGTTAGAGATTCTCCAACCAGGACTTTCCAAGAAGGGAGGCCTTCAGGGTTCATGCGTATGTTTCCTGCCATCTGTTTGCAACATTTGTCTGGTTTTGAATGGAAAGAGGAAGGCTGGCTTTGAGACTGGTGTCCTGAGAGGAGCCAGGGAGCCACTGCGCCAGCCCAGGCCTGAGCACTGGCTCCCTCTGCCTCCACTCCTGCCTGAGTCCTGAACTGGCAGGTGCGCACGTCTTCTGGGAGAAGTTGCTCTTTAGCATTTGGTCCTAGAATTTTGCAGACCTGATTTGGGACTGACTGACAGGGAACTGATCCTTAACGCTTGATTTCTGCCTCTCACTGAACTGCTGCGGACTCTGGAAAGAACCCCCGGCCTCTCCTGAGCAACTGGCTGTGCTCTGTCTCACTTCACACATGCCGCACACATGGCACGCACACGCACGGCACGCACACGCATGATGCGCACACACAGACGTGAGCAGTGCTCTGAGGTTTCATTCACTCAGTTCTTGGCTCTGCAATTCTAATGACCGACCTGTCTTCACCCTGTGGTGGCTCTTTTTGGAACTGGCTTCCCAAGAAGTTACTGGAAATGTGTCTAAGGGACTCTTCTGAGCTGGCCACTTGGACTGGAAAGCACAGCAGCTGGAGGCCTGGCAAGGCCGCCTGGTCATCTACCCTTTGCTTCGAGACCCGCCCCACTGCCATTGTTGAAGTGTAATGGAAACAGAAGTGGCCTGATGGCAGGCAGAGGTGGCTCTGCTGTGACAGGGGCCTCCAAGAAGTCCAGGTCAGAGGGCTTAGTCTGCACCTTGTCCCCTCCCATGTGAGTCATGAGCCAGGGTGTGCTCCAGGGCCCTGTACCCACAATACCTATCTCCACTTCTTCCCTGTCTCCTGCCCTCGCCAGCCCCACCTAGTGGTCACCTGGCTCTCTCCTTTTTAAAGAATCTATTTTGTCAAGCGTTTTATTTTGACGTGAAGATTGACTTGTCCACTTGCTGGATCAGATTTTCTTGGGGCCCATACACCGGCACCAACTGTGCTTTCTCATCTGCCTTTGTGTTCAGACCCTGCGCCTGCCTCCTGAGTACCCACTGCCGGGCTATGCGGATCCAACAGTCCTACCTCAAAGCTCTTGCTCATGGGCCGCAGGGCCGCCTGGCTTGCCGTCCTGCCATGTGGCTGCGGAGGCCAGCTGCGTGGTGCCCTCAAGAGCTGCTTGGTGCTGTTCCAGCCTCCACGTGGCCTGCAGCCACCCTTTGTGGAGGCCTAGGTCTGGCCTCCTCACCCTCTTCCTGGAGTGCTTTCTGGCTCTGCTTCTGGGCCAGAGCCCCATCCAGAGCCTCGAGGCAATGCACAAGACCTGAGCTCTGTGTCCAAGGCTGCTCAGCTGCCTCCTCAGTCTCCATTTTCCTTCAGCGTTGGCTGGTGGCCCCAGCGTGGAGCTTGGGGCAGGTGCCTAAGACTAAAGAATGCAGAGAAGTGCAGCCTTCCTGGGCTTAACAACTCAGGGGGGCCTGCAGCCAGGCCAGAGGAGATGCGGAAATGCAGAATGGCATGCCCATACCTGCAGGTGGCCTACTCCTCTCCTGCCCGGGGATCAAACCCAGGGTGCGGAGCATGCGAGGCCAGTGTTCTACCACTGAGCTATACCCCAGCCCTCCAGGTAGTATCTTTAAGAAGACATTTTCTGAAATCACTGAAGCAGCCAGGACTTCTGCCCCCAATGATGGGAGGGGCTGGGGTGTCTCCCTTTCTTACTTGCCAGGAGCAATACAGCTGGTGCCAGGCAGCCCCACAGCCACTCCCCTGCTTTCAGGGACTAGAATGGACTCAGAAGAAAAGGGAGGCTGCCCACACTGTTTTTGAGGGATCAGAACAGTGAAGAAGGAACTTATCAACTCATCAAGGTGGGAAGGCCTGGCATTTGGGAAGAAAAGACAGTTGGTGGGATTCTCATCTGCCATTGAATTTCCTACCATCTTGCAATGCGGTGACATTCCTGTATGTAAATGGCATCAAGACAAGGCTGGGCTGGGCAGACCAACCCGTGGAGCAGCCTATGACGTGGAATGAGGCAGTCTGTATGCCTTTCCTCTCACAGGTGTCCATCAGCACCTCACCTCACAGAGCATCCTGGCTCCTGCTTCGAGGCAACGGAAGGCCATATTCTACTCCACCTTTCTCCCGTCCCAGCCTTCTTTCCTGCCCATGTAACCGTATGTTCAGCTGCATCTCCAGCCCTGTATGTACTTTGTAGTTGCAATAATACCCTTAGGTGCCCTGTGACCCCCCACCCAGTTGGGGAGGGTCATACTTCCAAGAATAAGCCTGGGAAACACTGTGGAGCTCCCCCAGAGAAGAGCAGGCCATCCCTCTCTCCCCCTCATGGTGCCCCTGTCCTATCAGGACACTCAGACCAGGATCAGAGGGCAGGACCTGTTGTGCTTCCTATGGGGACATGTGAGACAAAGCCTTAATTCTAATCGAAAGTAAAGGCTTGACCTCCTACACAGGAGGCTTCAGTGAAGATGGTGGGCGGCTCGCCCATGGGCTGCAGTCCCAGAGCCACCTGCAGCAAGAGGTTGGGAGGGTAGTGAATACCTCTGGGGTCTCAGCTAGAGGCTGCCAAACACCATCACCATCACCAGGCTGTGGGGTGATGCCAGGGTGTCTCACCCTGGACGTTTTGGGGCAAGGTTGCACCCCTGGGGTCTCCTACTAGGTGCCAGCAGCAACCTCCAGGTAGCTGACAACCACAGCTACCTAGAGATGCTGCCAAGTGTCCCCTGGGGGCCGCCTGCACCTGAGGACTACTAGGTTATGCTATTGGATATTCAGAGTAGTACCCACTTCCATGTCAAACAGAATGCCTACACCACAAAGCTGCTGACCTGGATTCTCCTTTGGTCTTCAGTGGGAGCGGTGGGGAGTGGAGTGCCACAGACAGCGGCCAACCTAGCAGGTCTCTGTTTTGCTCACTTTAGATGCTCACCAGCCCCAACTTCAAGTCTAGAAGGAAAAGCTCTTTCTTTTTCCTTGGTCACATGTTACCAGAAGCAACAGGGACTTCTTAATGGGTCAGTGGCTTTAAAAAAATATCTAATAGATGTTATCAGGAGACGAATATTGGAGTCTGTGCGGATCCTGGGAAATCTCAGGATTTTCCTTTTGCATTGAGCCTGCAGCTGTTGTCACTGATGGTCTTCCTCAGCAGGTCCTCCTGGAAGCTTAGGTTGATGGGCTACAGAGAGACTGGTGAGCTTGGGGCAGGATGCGTGGGTCAGACACAACTGCAGCCCTCAGAGCTCATTTCTCTTGACCAGACTTTTGATATTGGTTTATAGCATGGGTGGGGGCAAATCTCTTATCTTTCGTGCCTCAGAATCCCCGCCTGAAAATGGGACTGGTCATGCTACCCTACCTCCTCTGCTGTGCTGACGATAATGGAGGAGCACCTTTTAAAGGACGTGCAGTCTTACCTCTGCAGCCTGGGATAATGGCCCACATTCGACGGACCAAACCCGGGTGGTGATTTTCCAGCATGCTCCGACTTCAGTGTCTTCCACCCATGCCTCCTTGTGACAGGGTTGAGTACTGGTCACACAGCTACCTGGCCTGGAGAGGGTAAGAGGCATGCAGGACAGGTTTTCTGTGACCAGACTGTTAGTGGTTCTCTGCTCAAGGCCGTGAGCAGTCTCCAGGTTAGTGCTGCAGGCAGGCAGAGGCCCCCTTAGGCCAGGAAGGCCACAGCCTGACTTCCTGCCTCCTCAGTGGCGAGGTCTATGAGCAGGGCCAATCCACTGCCTCTGTCTCCAGTGCTCTGCATAGAATGACTTTGCGGCCACGGGACAGTGTGACCAGGGCCATGGCTGCGTGGGCTGGAAGAGCTGACTGGACACAGGTTGCTTTCAGACCCCTGCAGATGGCTAGAACTGCATTGGCCTGAGCTATATGATTAAGTGGGGGACAGGGAGGTCCCCAACTTTGCAATGAATGATATTGACTCCAGGTAAGTCTCATCTGAATGCGACACTCTTCTCTCAAGGGCACAGCTCACGGAGGGCATAGCTGCTAACCTAGTCCTGGGGAGGCCCAGGAGCTTGTGGCAGCAAGACAGGCCCTGAGGAGAGGCCAGAAACAGACTTCAGGGTGGAAAAGGGGCCGCTGGCGGCTGTGGAAGGGGACGCGGAGCCAGTACAGGCCAGCTTTTCAGCACCCTGTCCGTGGGCTGGAGTCCCCAGCCCTGTTTGCTCAGCATTGAGAGGAGGGGCAGGCGAAGAGGACACGCAATGCATGATGTAGAGGTGCTGCCTTCGCACCAAGCTGTCTGTTGAGCATGAGAGGTGTTTGTTTGACTTTGGCAAAGGAATTTAACAAGAAGCAAAAAGCTGTGTGTCCTTGTTTTGGCTTCCATTCCCTGCCTGTCCTTGCCCTACTCCCTGCTCCCCAACTCCACGTCACTTCCTGTCCCCACTCCACATTACTTTCTATCCCCAGTGGTTGGAGTCTGGTGGCAGCTCTTAGTCCTGTGGCTGTTCACATTCCACTGAAAACAGGGAGGGTGGGCATGGCAAGGAAAGTGATTTTTTCTAGTTTTTGTATTGGTATCCACAAGCGTTTGTATTTTTTGAATTGCAAACACTGTGTTTTCTGGTCTTTGGGGGTTGGTTGGACTTTCTGTATTACCTTTTGAAAAACTTGAGTTTTACCACAGTCTTAAGCAGATTTGAAATAAATTCTTTTGACACTGCCAACTAAAAGACAGATGTGGTCTGTAACCACTGCTGAGGCAGCTGCTGCCTTCCCGGCGCAGGGCAGAGCAGGTCAGGGGATTCTGGTTTGCGGGCCAGGCACTCTTGTCGCCTGTGACTTGCAGGTTGCCCAGATCATGGAATTCATTTTTTGCCAAAGATAACAAGGCTGGAGCTATGAACAGTCCAGGAAAGGAGGCAGTTCATACTGAGACAGACAGACAGCCCACCAAGGTCTCAGCCAACTCTCCTCTGGAGTTCTGGGCTGCAGTGATAAGACTGGGCTTTGTACCACCCACCATCATTCACTGACTGTGGTCACCTGGGAAGGGGCTGGGACAATCCCTATAGTCACTCACAGCTGAAGGGCCGTCTGCCCTCAGCTCCTGGCAGTCAAGGGACTAGTCCTCTCCTCTGGACACATGCTGCTCCTGGCTGACTGTTCTTCTCCATGTGTCCTGAGATGCTGGGCCAAGATGGCCTGGCAATGTGTGACTCCCAGTGTCCCAGCCACCCACTGGCCTGTCTGCCCCAGGGTCCTGCTCATTGCTAGTACAGCTCCCTGCACAGGTGGGAGCAGCACACAGATAGTCCTCCACACCCAGGGGGCTCCCCGCACAGGAGGCCTGTTCAGACCTAAGCTGAGCTCTGTCTCTTCCAGAGCTGCTCATGACTCTTCTGCATATGTCCATGTCACCCACACACTAGCCATGAGCCCTGGAGGTCAGGGATACTCTGTTCACCACACCTAGCATGACTCTGACTTGCAACTGGTGGTCAGGAAGGTCATGCTCTTGCTGGAGGATAGTAAGTGTGGGGTGCAGGAGGGGGAGAAGTCAGCTAGTCAAGGAGTCCCTGGCAGAACGAGAGTGCAGAGCAGCACTGGGGCCTCCGGGCTTGGGTGCAGAGTGGGCAGTGTGAGCACCATGTGGGTAACCAGGGCGAGTGGGAAGTGCCGGACACCACGGGGGTAGCCAGGGTAAGTGGGCAGTGCCGGACACCACGGGGGTAGCCGGGGTGAGGCGTCTGCACCCCCTCTCAGGATGGTTCCAGGGTAACGAGCAAAGGCCTCTTCACATCATCACCAGGTCATAGGTCGAGTTTCCACACTCCAGTGGTGCCTCTCTACTTTCCAGCCACTCTGTCAGAAAGCAGAAGGCTCTGCAGCCCCTTCCTGGCAGGCTCAGCTTGTCCTGAGCCCCCCGTCCAGGCTCTCTGTCTCCCTTGGGCGGGCCAGCCACCCCGCCACGTATGTCCTGCAGATCCGAGTGCACTGAACGTGTAGCGCTAGGAAGCACCCCACCAAGGGAAGGGGCAGCATGCAGACACAGCAAAAGCACACTTGCCCTGGGAAGACCTCAGTCATGACTTCATGGTCACTTCTCTCTGCTGCCGACCTTGCTGGAGCCTCTTCAACAGGAAATAACGAGCACCAGCTGAAATCTGGACCCAGGTTGCTTTGGCAGTATTTATCATTTCTGCCCCTACACCTCCAAGTGCTTCTAGAATGCCCACTGGCCCCAAAACTGCACCTCAAATACCTGTGCAATAAGTTAAAAGCAGAAACCACAGTGAGTGTGGTGATTTATACTTGGAATGGCAGGCTTTTCCAAAACAGACTAGGTGGGGACTCCAGTTGGCCTGGCTGAGGAAGAGCCTATCTGCTGTCAGGACTCATGGGCAGGGGCCCCTCTTCCCTAGTAGCCCATTTCTAGCTCCTGAGATTCTTCCTAGTGCCACCTGTCAGGTTCTGCAGGCTCCACTCATCCGAGTTACCACATGCTATCCTCCACAGTCCACTGAAAGCCACGCAACAGCCAGCCAAGGACACCCCAAGGGTTGTTGATCAAAACTTGATTACTTGCTAGGCTGGGATCTGAATTTTTTTGGCAATTAAAAAAAGTCATAATTGTTACTAGCATTGAAAATGTTTCTTTAATGTGCCACAAGCTTTGAGAAGCTGTTGACACCATTAAAATGTGTGTGGCATATAAGTTCTGTCTTCCGCAAGACAATATCCACTGGTACATGAGCACTAAGCACATGTTAAAACCATCTTTTATTATTTAGTAGTCAATATAAATATAAAAACTATTTTATTATATAATTTCTTACAAAGTAGATTTTATATACAAAGTAGACTGAAAAATTAAAACTGCTTTTCCACAAAACTGAAGACTTGCCACATTCTGAATTCTTTCATAATGTAAAGTAGTTACAAATGTTAAAAGGCGTGCATCACCAGTACCCTACAAAAAGTCAAAAGGCAATTTATGTCAATCACTAGCATTTACAAGACACTGTGATCATGGAAAACTGCATCACAAGCAAGTGCTCCAAGCACCAGGGCAGGAAGTGGAGGTGACACTTGCTGTGCTCACCAACAGCTGGCAATGCAGCCTCACCTGTTCTCTCTCTGTGGAACGTGAGGAGTCTGGGTCTGGTAGGGCCCAGTGCCAGCAGGGCCACCTGTTCCCACTCCTCTTGTTAGCTGACGAAGTGCTTCATTTAGCCACTCTTGAAGAATTTATTTTCTTGATATCAAGGGGGCTCAGAATCAATGTCCCATTTCTGAATTTTCCAACCTGTCCAATTCGTCCACTTGATGAAGTACTAGGAACCGGCTTCTTTTTGAATTTTCTACATTCAAGGTGAGAAAAAGGTACCATATGCGGTCAGGTGCTGGTAGCACTGAGGTTATAGTCTCCCTGCAGAGCTCACCCTGATGCTGTCCCGCAGGCCTTCCTCCTCAGGGCCTTGGAGTGGACTGACCTTTCTAGGTTGGCTCTCCCTTTGCTCAGTTCTGCACATGGATGTCACTGCTCTCAAGTGACCTCCCAGCTTCCCTGTGATTTTCTCTCATCATGCTATTTCAGCCTCTTCAAAGGACTGCCCAGTACCTGACATCGCCTTGCCTACCAGTGTGTGTGTTTGGGGCACTTCCCTCCCACAGTGCAAGTCCTGGAGGACAGGGACCCCATCAGTGTGGTCATGACTGGGGACCAACACCTGTGCCTGGCCCTCTACACATCCTGGCACACAATGGGCACTCCAAGGATTGCTGTGGCAGAACAAAGGACCATTTTACAGCATGTGCAAGCACACTAGGCGTCCAGGAAAAAAGGTCAAGACAAAAAAGTCACGTGGGAAACAGGAACTGAAGAGAGAGCAGGCAGTGCTTGAATGAAGCCAAGAGTCAAGTAGAGGCAAGGCCGGCTCCATGCAGCCCCACACAGCCCCGCCAGGCCAGGCCACCTGACCACTGCTGGCTCCCTTCTAGCCCAGCTTCCTGAGGGGCCTGGTCTCTGACAATGGAAGGCCACAGAGGGCTCCAGCTTCACTGCCAAGGCAGCTCCTCGGTCAGGACAACTCACTGAAACCTGCCTTTCCCCTGTGGACCTGGGAGGACACTCACATACTGCAGGCACTGCTGCCACACTGACCAAGGCTCACCCAATCTGCACAGCCCTGGCTCCTGCCAGCACACTCACCTGTCTTCCTGCCCCTTCCTCTTCTTTTTCTTGAAAATATCTGTATCCTGTACCTGATTTCAGAATTTAAGGTAATATATGGGTCAGTAATGGAGAATGCAGATTCAAAAACGGGCAAGAGGTTTGTGACCAAGGTACCAGTTATTTTTAGTCATTTTTTTCAAGTGGGCCTACTAACCATGACTGTTTCAAAGTCTCAATTTGAAGCCCTTTCAAGAATGCAAAAGGCTATTCCAGGTAAGACCAACACCAAAAGTAAAGTCTTCTATTCTAGGTGAAAAGACCCAAGTGTCACACTTATTCTTGGGGCTTTGCAAAGGGCCTCATGTGCTTTACAACATAAAACACGTAAGATGTGTAAGGGCAGCCAAGAGAGGGGAAGAGCTAGCATCACCTGGGCAGGAGGCGCCTGCTATTCAAAACCGCCCCTGCAGGTGAGCAGCAGATCCCTTGGCTGGCATCATGAAATGTGGCTGGCAGAGTGGAGGGAACCAACATTCAGCAGTGGTGTCCCTGAGTGCTTCCAGGCACGGCCCCAGCCCCAGCAATCCCTGTGGGAGATAACCCCCGCCTTTCTGCTCCCCACATCACACCTACCATTCTCTTCTCTTCTTCCTTTGCTGCCTTCTTTTCTTTGATTTGCTCCTGTAAATCCTTGTAATTCACATAACTCTTTTTGGGAGGCTGAAATCAAAGAATAAGGACATGTATCGTCAGCTTTTATTTTGTGAAATGTCCCAGTGTTCCTTGCATTGCCCTGGGACGCTCTTTCTGCACCTTGTGGCTAATGGAAGATGGCCCCTCACCTTAGCACCCAGCATGATGGCACGCTCCTGTTCCAGGACTCTTCCCTTTCCCTTCCCATAGCCCATGATCCCAAACCGGTGCACTTCCAAACGAGCCTGTGGAGAAAACAGAATTCAACCCGGATGCATGTGTGGAGCCCCCAGGGGCAACATGGCTCTGACCCAGCACATGGCTTCAACTGCAGAGGGTACTGTGGTCCTGTAGGTGCAGCAAAGGAGCTCCTGGAGGCTCTCCTTGCAGGTCACTGTCATGTCACATCTGACACTGAAGGAAAAAATTATCTCCACATGCATCAGTGACAACTAGGACCGGGGAAGAGCTCTGCGACACCCAGGCTGCTTGCAGACGAGCTGAGAAACACCACCTACTCAGGACCACCAATCACAGCAGCTGCCACACCCACTCGGGGTGCTGCCTGGCTTCTTCCTGTCCTTTTAGTAGGCATTTTTAAAATCTGTTCGGATCCCAATAAGCACAAGTCCCTGGTTTTTAGCTTATCACAGTCACTGTCACTATCTTGTGTCTCTCGAGCACACAGCATGCAATCAAGTGAACCAGTGGGATCTGCATAACCACTTCCCTAACCACTAGACATGCAAAACAATCACTTTGTGGCACTATAAATAAAGGTGTTAATGACTACAAATTTTACGAACATTTGATAAATTTTATACAAATACAATGAACTTATAAATAAATAAAATCAATTACAAATAATTAAATAATCTTAAAGAACATACCTTTTCCAAGTTAAATTCTTGAATATCCACATCTTTTTCAAGGACATGAATTTTACTCTGCGAAGAAAAGAATTCTTATTAAAATCATCTGTTACTGCATCAGTACCGTATCATCACAGTAGAGATCACCATCAGAGTTTTCAAAAGCCTTGAACAAGCTACCTCACACCCATTAGACTGGCTACTATCATAAAAAAAATAAATAAATAACAAATGATGGAAGAATGTGGAGAATTTGAACCCTGTGTTCCACTGGTAGGAATGTGAAATGGTGTGGCTGCTATGGAGAATTGTGGAAGTTCCTCAAAACACTAAAAATCAGAACCACTGATGACCAGGCAATTCTGCCCCCTCAGTGTTTTCTGACCATCTATCTAGTAGGTTCTACTTGTTACGCTCGGGACCCTATTTACTTCTTCAGAGCATTTGCAATTCTTTCCAGTTATATTAATTAATTTGCTTGCCTCCCTAGCAGACAGGGCAGTTTATTCCATGAGGGCAAAGAACGACACCTGTTCACTGCTGCCTAGGGACTGCAAACAGCAGGCACTCAATTATGTGTGGAATAAATGAGTGAATAAGTGATCTTTTTTTTTTTTCTTTTTTTACTTACTATTTCCTGTGCATTAGAAGTAGCACAGGAGCAGGCAGTTCACCTGTGGGTATTTGGGACAGGTAAAACGCAACATAAACAGTGGCCAGTTCCCAGATAAGCTGAGGACAACCAGTTATAAAGCACAAGGCAGTTTCCTCACAGAATGTATGGCTCAAGTCTCAGTCCTGGGAAAAGACCACTTCCTGGGTTCAGTAGGCCAGCCAAGTGGCCTGCTGTGTAGCTCACCCCACCTCCTTTTTTCTCAAAGTCTTGCTAAAGACAAATAGCCGGTGCCCTGGCTGTTCACCAGAGGTGACTATTATATTGCTATGTATTTCTGCCAATCTCATGTCTGTTGGAACTCATGCTATAATGGCTCAAGTGCTTTCAGAGAACAAGGACAACTATATGAGATCACTTATTCATTCATTCATTCCACCATGGGGAGCTGCTATTTACCCCTCCCTAGGGCAATCACACTTTCCCATATTTCACAGGCTCGAAGCACAACTTCTGCACCTCATGAGCCCCAACCCAAGAGGACGCTACAGGGACCAAGTCACATTCATCTGCTGCAATGCTGAGATTCTATCTTCTCACGGGTGTAGGTGTACGTGTTTTCATTGTATCCACATTCAGTTTCCTTAACCAGACACAACTCACATTTTCAAAAGATATGAATTTTTATTAATATTTTTAGTTGTTAATGGACCTTTATTTATTTATTAATTTGTATGTGGTCCTGAGAATCGAACCCTGTGCCTCACACATGCTAGGCAAGCATTCTACCACTGAGCTACAACCTCAGCCCAAAAGATGCAAAATTTTTTAAAATCAAGGGACATCATTGATGTCCTTGATGTCCTTGGAACATCAAGGACAAATGGAAAATTTCACTAGGCTCAGTGAATTCAAACTGAACAGAGTCAAGGTTCCCAAGGTTCCTGGGAAAAATCCAACCATGACAGAAAGGACTCAGTCAGAACAGAAAGAAAAGGACCACACAATGGCCTGCCAGACATTCTATTACTAAGAGACAGGAAAACGCACAATCACTCAGTGCTAACTTTCCCACCCTTTTAAAATGAAGGAAACTTTCCAGTCCAGAAGAGGAACACACAAGAGTTTAGGAAGAATGTGAAGCCTGACACATGTGTGGAAGTGCAGATAGGGTGGGGGGATACCAAGGACACTTATCCTGGCTGAACTCTCCAGCTCTGAATTATATAGCAAAGCAGGGCTTTCCCAGTTCTCTCACATCAGAGCTGCCCACATAATACTAGTATCTGAAGGGAGCTCTGGGGTAATAGGAGACAGCTTGAGGGCTTTGACTGCAAAGGACCATTTCTTGGATCTCCCCTAACAGGTCCCAGTACCGCAGGATGTGGAGCATAAGAGTTGGGAAGCTGACCTAGAATTACAAAATAAAGGTAGAAATAATTGGAGTGTTCTAATAATCCCTGAGGGAGAAATGTTAGTAAACCAACAGTAAGTGCTTGCTTTTGTTGTTTTTAGAGTAATGACATGGCAAACTGTGGGGGCCGCCCCTGAGCTAAATGAAGCATCCTCTCACAGCCTTGAGCCCAGAGGGGTTGGTCTTGCAATGCACACTGTCTGGGCTGCACGAGGCAGGTGGCCTCCACCTTCACTTGGCCAAGAAGACTGCTTTCCCCTGGCTCTGGACCCAGGCATTACCCACTGGGGCTTAACCAGCCCACTCCTGCCTTATTTGGTAAAGAACATATGATCAAAAATCCTTTGTTAATTTCCCTATAAATAAAGGGAATTCTGGATGCACGCACGCTCTCTCGCTCTAGAGTCTTCCAGTGTGAAAGCAGAATCCTTAAGGTTGCAGAGCAGTCTCACCCCTGCTTTGTGAAAAAAATTACTTCTGTGTCCATTTGGTCTTTTTGTCGGCAGCCCACAGACACATAGGGATGCCGATCCCACAGCCCAAGTGGGATGTGGGCATGTGGTAGCAAACACTGGCACTAATGTGTTAGTTCTAAGGATGTACTATATCCAAACAGAACAACTGCAAGCCAAACTGTCTTAGTGGTGGATGGAATTGTATGCTCTCCAAGATATGTCCATGAAACATCTTGAAAAAGGATCTTTAGAGCACAAAGATCTCAACAGAAAGTCATCTTGGATTTAGGATGACCCCTAAATCCAAGGGAAGATGTCCTTACGGAGGCAGAGTAAAAATAAGGTGGACCGCAGTTACGCAGCTGCTAGCCAAGAGATGCCCAGAGCTACCTCTGATCAAAGACACAGGGAAGATTCTCCCCTGAGCCCTCAGAAGGAGTACAGCCTTGCCAACATCTTGAATCTAGACTTTTCTGACGTCTAGGACTGCAAGACAATTTTTAAAGTCACTAATTTTGTGGCTGTTTATTGCAGCAGCCTTAGAAACAAATGCAATCCTCATTTCCTATTTTGATAGACCAAAGGTGATAGGACATATCTTTGTGTAGGAAAAAAACATTTGGAGGGTAACCATACCTCCTTCATGGACTGAATTTTGAGTCAGATTTTCAGGTTCAGTTGGAAAGACAGTAAATCATCTGCTCTTCCACCAGAATGCAAGTTCCTCAAGAGCAAGGATTACTGCACATTTTGCTGCTATATTCCAATGCCTAGAACAGTGGTGGGCAGTTAGCAGGAATATCAGAAAGAGGTAAACAACTGAGTTTTCCTGAGCACTAATAAGCAGAATGCTTATGAATGGAAAGGAGTTCACTGAACATGTCTGGGCTTATCAAGCCCCACAATTCTCAAGACAGTTTTGTTCTCTTGACTTGCTGCTGGCCAGCTCCTGAGCACTAAGTAACCAGAATTTCTGCTTATCAGAGTTTTCCTGCATATCTTAAACCCTGAGCCACTGCTGTACCAAGTTTGCCATCAACCATGAGATTTATAATGAAGAACTAATTAACTCTGAAGGGTGAGAGCTTGATAAGATCAGTCTACAAGTCTAGATGGCAGAAAAAAATTTTATGTTGAGTCCTGTGAATGAGCAAATCCTTAGGTGGGGGTGGTCCTGGGGGGGGGCACGCCATCTATAAAGACAGTAACTTAATGCCACCATACAAAGGGTCAATCAACTTCTTACCTTTGTGTGCTCATCTTGTTCTAGTTGCAGTTTTCTTTTTTTATTTCTGCTGTGAAATTTGACTACTTCTATGTGGGGAAAGGGTGGCAATGCAGCAGCAGAGACTTCTGGTCCTGAAGGAGGACCCTGGGAGGTGACATCAGGAGCACCATGCATCTCTTCTCTGAGTTCCTTGAAAAAGCTGGAAGCACTCTTCCTCTGCCCTCTTTCAAGTGAAGCAGGCAGGGAAAGTTGCCCCACTGACCCGGCTGCTGCAGCTCCCACGTCTCTCTTCTTGTTTTCCCTCTTCTTTCTGATCCTCTTCTGTTCTGATTCATCTTTAGTCTCTCCTGTTTGTTCAAACACAAAAAGGAAGCAAATATTTTTGGTTTTAGCTGTCACCAACATCAAGCATATGAAAGCACTGCGTTTGGCACAACCATTAAGTACCAGCAGTGCACACTAAGAAATAAACTGTTTTCATCAAGGTACACTCCCACAACTTATAGAATCCATAATGCAGCCATCATGTCCTTGGTGACCATATTTATACAATGACTCTGGTCCTCACTCTAAGCACCAGAACCATGACAGTGCCCAGTACTGGACATCCCAACTGGCTCATACATGGTGCTACTGTGTCTGACACAGCAGCCAGTGCTGTTCTTTTTTTTTTTTTAATTTTAGGGTTATAGGTACATGACATGTATTTTCTTTCTTTTTTAAAAAATACTTTCTAGGCTGCATGTAGTGGCATATGCCTGTAAATCCAACAACTCAGGAAGTTGAGACAAGAGGATTGCAAGTTCAAGGCTCTGTCTCAAAATAAAAAATAAAAAAGACTGGGAATGTATCTCAGTGGTTAAGCACCCCTGGAATCAATCCCCAGCACCTGCCCCCAAATAAAATAAAAAGTAACACTTTCTAGGATTATAGGTACATGTAACGGTCTTCCTGTTTTCTTTCAGTTATAAATTAACAACTTAAGATGATTGGCTTAATTTAAACATCTTTATTTTCTACCAATGCCTAGATCTACTTTTTGATTCACCTATTCAAACTCTGGTCAGTCATCTGAAGGTTCTGACCAAAATTCTGGGCCTCATTCCTCACTGAAAGTATAAACACAAGAGCTCTCTGGACATCAGTTGATGATTTATGCTTGCTTCTATTTACTTAGTCATTTACTCCAACTGTGTTAATAGCCAGCTACACTCTGGCATTAAGGATATAAAGATGAGTACAGAAAATTCAAACCTTCACAGCTCCTGGCATAACAATTCAAGACTGTAGATACAAACTGTATCAGATTTTTTTTTTCCTCTAGATTTTAAACGTATCAAGTCAGAGACTAACTCTTCTCTGTCCTCCAATATTTCCAAGGGCACAGAGTTGCTTCCTTACAGGACAGGATCTGGAGTTAGGCTCTGGGCCCTGCAACCCAGGCTCTGCAAATAACCAGCTGGGTAACCTTCAGCAAGCTCGGTATCCTTCAGTGCGTTTCTACATTCCTAATAATGGGAATAAGGACGTATCCACAAGGTTAACAATCACAAGGTTGTAAAAATTATGGGGTGTATGTGAAAAGCAAGTCGCGCCTGATAAATTCTCCATACTTTTAGGCTGACTCTTATTGACAGGGTGAGCCGCAACTTCTCCAAAATAAAAACAAAATAGCCTTTGCCTTCATTACCATAACCTAGTTAAGATCAGGCTCTTGGTACCAAAAGGTGGCCAGCCATGTCAGCCCTGCTGGGCTTCCTCTTGAAGTGCCAGGCAGTTGCAAATCTTTAATAATAATAATAAGCCTTTTAATTTCATTTTGGCCCAGTAAAAGAAGACAGGGGAGCGAATGGTCGGCCACCTCGTGAACAGCTGAAGGTTACCCAGCTGGTTATTTGCAGAGCCTGGGTTGCAGGGCCCAGAGCCTAACTCCCTGCAGAGGCTCGCGTCGTAGGCAGAGCCTCGCGTCGCAGGCAGAGGCTCGCGGGTGGCTGGCGCTCCCCGGACTGCGGGCACCGAGCGCCGACGCGCCCCCACGCGAGCCGTTCTCACCCAGGTCGTAGAGGGTCTGCAGGAGGGAGTCCAGGCGCGTCTCCGAGCCCGCGGTCTCCGGGGAAGCAGACGCCGGCGCCATCGTGCGCGCGCGGGACCCCGGCCGTCCGTCCACTCGCCACTCGCACTTCCGCTTCCGGCGCCGACGGCTGCGCGTGCGCCGCGGGGCCCCGCGCGGCTTCCGTCCTGGGCAAGATGGCTGCGCCCGGGGTCCCGTGCTGCGGCCGCAGAGGGTGCCGTAGGCCAGGGCGAGGTCGGGCCGCCCCACGCGGAAGAACCGCCCCCAGCGGCTGCACCACCGACGCGTAGCAGAGGAACCTAGGCCCCGCCCGGGACGGCAGCCGCACCATGGACGCTCCCAGCTCCTCCAGATCTTACTTCTCGGTCGGCTCGTCCAGTTCCGGCGCTGTCGCGCTCCTTTATGCGGTAGGCGCCCGAGATCGCAGCCCGCGGCGGGGCTCGCCCGGCCCGGCCCTGAGCTGCCGAGGCCCGCCGCTGCGGCGCGGGTGCCGGCGCGGTTCCCAGGCAACGGCGTGCGCCGGGCGATTCCCCCGCGGCCCCGGGCCTGCAGCTCCGCCGCGCGCCCGGACCCCGGACCCGTGTCGCGGGGCCGCCCGGCTGGTGTGCAGGCGGGTCCAGGCCGTGCGGGCAGAGCCGAGCACCCGGGAACTCTGCTGCCTGGCTGGTCTGGTCTTCGTCCTTGCGCTTGTTCCAAGCCACTTTGGAGGACAACCTTTGCCACCCAGCCTGTCCCCGACCGGCCACCTCAACTCCGGCCACCCCCTCTTCCTCTTCTGGGCTTTGGACTGGTGGGGTTTTTTTGCTTGCTTTGTTTTTTCCACCAGAATGTTGGTACTCAAAATTTTCATGAAGAAATTGCAAGGTAGGAGTCCTTTAGCCGTTGGGATTGCACAATGCTGGGGCAACTGATCTGGTTATTATCTGTTGCTTTTATTACCAAATTAATTTTTATCTACTTTAGAAGGAAATGAAGTAATGCATTTTGAAGACATAAATCCATGTCTTGGCAGTTAGTGTAAGTTTCTGATTTAGGTACAGTATGGTGTTAATTTGTGCAGGAAGGCCAGCGCAAGGAAAACACAAAAGGGCAAAATAAACAAAATTCCCAGTTTCTAAGAGAACGTGACTATCTCCAGATTGGGACAGTCCTCTTTGTAGTGTGTTGAAGCTCCAGTGTGCTTTGTGAGGAGCTATTGGTTTATGATTGCTGCTAACTGCCTATTTCCCTCAAGCTTAATCACCCTTAGCCTCTCTCCTCGCTGACCTTGTCAGCCCACAGTTCTTCAGTGGAAGTATTTCACCTTTGTTTTCTGATTCTGATACTGCAGGACAAACATGTGGAGAATAGGGTTGTTGTGCAGATCCGATATACGGAAAGTTTTTTCCTTTTTTTGCCCTAAAGTGGTTCATGAATTGACTGGAATTTTCTTTGTGTGTTGAATAGAGTTGGTGTTTTACTTCTTCCTTCATCAGTGACATTTTAACCCTAAGACTTGTTGACTTTTTCACAGGAAAGACCAAGGCAATGCATGTGAACAGTGTACTTCTGATGCTGGACAGCAGCCCTCTTATAAGTAGTTCTGGCTACTCTTTGTGATTGCATAGTCTTACTTCAGTGAACTTCTTCTTACTCCTTCAGGTTGTGTTCATTTCCACTGCTATTGTGCAATACTTTCTGTCTTATCTGAGATTAGTTCTTTAGAGGTATTTAAGATACTTCTGATTAAAGCAAACATTAGAAGTATCTACAATATCACAGTCATTATTCTCAATGTCTAAGATGTAGGTGTTACAGATCCAGCCCTTGCCTTTAAGGACATGAGAAGTCATAAGTGAATAAATAATTAAAATTAAGTAGTCTAAGGGCACAGCATATTGTGTTAGTAAAATGGAGGTACATCTGGTTGTTAGGGACTCTGCAAGGCTTCCTAGAGAAGGTGACACCTTAGCTGAGGTTTGAAGTGTGAATGGTAGATGAAGGAGAGGAAGACAGTCTTAGGCATTATGTAAGAAAACCACGCCTTACATGTGTTGGGGAGCCAGTCAGGCAAGGATATGGCAAAGGGGACATGAGAATCAGAAGAAGCAGGCAGAGGACATTTCCTAACAAATATGGATATCATGTCTACATCCTTAAGGATAACAATCTTGGCTTTACGGTAGGCCATTTATACTCAGCTACTGGTTTCTGGCACGACATCTGTGGGCAACCTCCTTTACTTAAGCAGAGTGTAGGACGGGAATCAGGGTGGGGAGGGAATCTGATGCATAAGCATAGAGATGATTGGACACTATTGGAAGAATCCAGAGGAGCGAGGAAGCCTGGAGTAGGCCAGTGCAGTGAGGTTGGTGGAAGGCTGTGAATGTCTGTAGGACTTAGGACAGCAAGTTGTTGGCCCTTGGAGCCAGTTGACTAAGGTGTTGGGTTTCTGTGACTTGGCAACTGGGCAGCTGATATATGCCTTTTGATAGGACTTACCAGAGAGAAACAGGTTTTGACAGGTAATATATCAATTTCAGTTTGGGATGTGTTCAATTTTAAGTAAGAGATATTTAGCTTGTTGATTATCATGTTATGGACCAGAAACAACATAATCATTTGAGAAAACATCCAAGTAGAGTGGCATATGGTACCAGAGCAAAAGAGGAAGGTCTGTACTAACATGTTGCTCCGGCAATCATCAGCTAGTGGCTATATCCAAAGCCAGAGGAGTACTTGTGGTCTTTCAGTGAGATTCTGGGATGAAAAATGGAAAAGTCCTGGGACTCTTGACGTTATTCCCTTGCTGTGTCCCATAAGACTCTGTGTGGTCTGGTAACTGCCACTGCTCAGTGCCTGGTGGCTGCTGCTGGGGCACTTGGTGACCTTCTTCTGAGTAAATGGGTCCTCTAGAGCAGTCAGAAGGGAGGTTCAGAAGTCAGGAGAGGCTTGTCCAGCCATCAGTGGGGGAGCCTGCCTGCAGACTGAGACAAGGAGAGTGTCCACTTCACCTCTTACTTAACTCTCCTTTGTTTTATGTTCCTGGGTGAGTAGCCATGCAAATATGTCTACTCAATGATAATCAATACTCCTAGCAGGCCTAAGGGAGGGCCAGTTGATAAGCAGTTGACCCTACCTGCACATGGGAGCCACTTAGTGTACTTTTAGAAATCCTGATGCCCCAGGCACTGCTCACAGAACTAGTTAACCAAGCACCTCTAGTGGTGGGGCCTAGGCATTAATATTTTTAAAGTTTCCCCATTATTTTAATGTGCAGCTTGGGTTAAAAACCACTTGATTGAACATTGGGTTAGAGCCAGATTGGGGAGTTTTGAGCTTTATCCTATGAATGTTAGGGAGCTGTCAATAGGATTCAAGAAGTAACTGCCTTATTTCATTCTATGATAACTGAGTTCCTACTGATAATAGTAGGTTCAGAAACGTAGAAGATACTTTACCTACCTCAACAAGAAGTTCACAGTCTTGTACAGGAGGCACCAAATACAGGTTTAATAAAATGTTGGAAGTACCATTTTGAAAATCCGTGCCTCTCTCAATCGCTGTTACCACCATGCACTGATTACTTATAAGAGAGATTGTTTTGATCACCACTCTGTCCCCAACACAAACCACAAAGCCAAGCTTTCAGTTGTGCTCAAATATGTAAAGATGAATGCTCTTTTGCCGAGGTGTTAACTTGAACAGAGGTCTGGAGAGAACTGAAATAGCATGCTTTGTTTAGGGAATTGCATGTCTACAGCAAGACTATCAAAGAGAGGAAGTGGTAGGGGTCATGAAAAGCTGGAGTTATAAGGCAAGAGGTGTGGACTTGGCCCTGCAGGTAACAGAAATGTGCAAAAGTTGCTGTTGATCCTCTTTTGCAGGCTTTTTTTTTTTTTTTTAGTTGTAGTTGGACACAATAACTTTATTGTATTTATTTATTTTTATGTGGTACTTAGGATCGAACCCAGGGCCTCGCACATGCTAGGCAAGCGCTCTACCATTGAGCCACAATCCCAGCCCCTCTTTTTTTTTTTTTTAATATTTATTATTTAGTTGTAGTTGGACACAATACCTTTATTTTATTCATTTAGTTTTTATGTGGTGCTGAGGTTTGAACCCAAGGCTCCACATGTGCTGGTTGAGTGCTCTACCGCTGAGCCACAACTCCAGCCCTTTTGTAGGCTTTCTTAAAGTGCCTGTTTTTGCTGCTCTTGGTGTCCTGAATGCTCTGCCCTCCATGTGTTCCCAGTTGATCCTGATCCTTTTCTCTTTCTATTCCCAGGACCACTAAATGGAAAGTTTCAAGATCCCTTTTGACCCTCAAATTACATGATGATAGTTTGTTGCAGTCTAACTGAGGTGATAGAGCTGTTCCTTATTAATGGCTTATAAGCAAGAGTGTGTGATATGTTGCAGTGACTTCAATTTTACACCAGAATTCCAGCACCGTGCCCAGATGCTGGAAAGATAAAGAAATAGGCCGTCTTATCTCAGATAATTATGCTCTAGTATCGAGACAAGACATGCTGACAGTCACAGTGTGTGGGATACATACTGTAATAGACATGGATTGTAGGTGAAGAAGTCCACATGAGGAGGTGTCAGTAATTCCAGGTGGAACTCAGGGGGAGCCTTCATAGAAGAAGGGGTGCCTATGCAGGGATGACAGAAACAGATGGGCAGATGTATGAGGCCAGGTGCAAGCAAGGAAGCATGGTGGGCAGTGCAGTTCCCTCTCTCAGGAGTGGTTGATGGGTTCCGTGGCATGATAGGGTTGGGTCTGATTAGAACTCTCTTGAGAAGAGCACAGAGGCAGTGGATGCAGAGGACGGGTGAGCTCAGCAGAGGGGCTGTTGAAGGAAAGGGCTGAAGCTGCACTGAGAGACGACCAGGGCAGTGGTGGGTTGCTGAGTGGACAGGGTGCATGCTCAAAGCTAGGTTAGGACCGGACAGAAAGGGCGCGGGGGGGCACTAGAGTGATACAGAAGGCTGCAGATGACAGGGACCTGGAGACTGAGATCTTAGGAACAGGATGGAGTTAAGGATCTTGCAGAGCAATGAGTTCCTTTGGAAAAGGCCAGATGTGAAGTGTGGCAACCAAGTGTGTGCACTGAGAGGCAGGAGAAGCTGGGCCAGAAGGCCGGGAAGTATGTGCCCATGCCCAGCACTGTGAGGAGGATGGATAGAGGGGATTGGAGGAGGAGACTGACTGAGGGAGGTGGGGGGAAAGAACACAGATTTGTAGTTTTGAGGGGAAAACTTCCCATAGGTTGAGAGTCACTGGATTAGAGAAGCAAGGTAGATTTTTCTACTGTGACAGAGAGCCATGAATTAAAAACCAAAGCAGGGAAATTGCTAGACACTTTGAAGTGGGCAGGGAGAGGGAGCACTAGATAATGGTGTTACACAGTAGAGGAGGCTGGCAGAATGAAAGCTGGAAGAGGCCAGGATGGAAGGGTTCACTGAAAGAAGGATGTTGGGGTGGGGGGCTAAGAATGTGTGTTTTTGTATATAGCAAGGAGTGAAAAATTATATAAATTTTTAACATTAAAAACAATGATATTGCTGGGCATGGTGGCATACACCTGTAATCCTAGCTACTTGGGAGACTGAGGTAGGAGGATCACAAGTTTGAGGCCAGCCTTGGCAACTTAGTAAAGCCCTGTCTATAAACAAACAAACAAATAAATAAATAGGCTGGGGATGTAGCTCAACGGTAAAAGCATCACTGGGTTTAATCCTTAAAATAACAAGAACAATAACATAATAAAAAATAATCAAAGATGGGCTGTGGGTATAGCTTTGTGGTAAAGTGTTTGGCTAGCATGCACAGGCACCTGGGTTTGATTCCCAGACAAAAAAAGAAAGGAAGGAATTTAAATGGCATGGAGCAATATTTAATAACATTAAATGAAAAGAAACACGTTGCAAGTCCCAATGTGTATCTGGCAAGGAAAGAATGTGTCCATCTGTGCATTTAGAGAAAAAGAATTCATGAAAGTGTCTCTGGATCATAGGACTCTAGGTGATTTTAATTCTTTCTCTATGCTTGTATGTTCTAAATTTTTATAATGAACATATGTTGCTTTGGTAATTTGAAAAACTATTTTAAGTACTTAGGGAACATGATAATTGTGCGGCCACTGAAGTGCTTTAAAACAGTACTCTGAGTTGAAAACAGAGGTAAATTGTATGGTTCCTGTTTTGAATAGAAACAATAAGGAAACTATTACATGTTGTGAGCAGGTTGTTCCTGGGTCATAAGATTGGGAGCAATTTATATTTTTATATGGGTTACTGTGTTTCCAGATTTTCATGATCAGGCCCTGGAGGTAGTGAGGAGTTGGCCTGAGGAAAGTCCACCTAAGTCCACCTCTGCATGCCTGAGTCCCCTTGTAAGCTGGGACTGAGAACACCAGCCCCTCCTGGGTTTGTTGGGAGGCTTGCTCCTCTGTTCAGAGCTGTTAGAAGGGTCCTCACACGCAGTGAGCAACTTAGACATGCTAGCTGAGAATATCAACACCACTCTTACTTTCACAATCGGAGGACGTCTTTTTAAACTAGCAGTCTAAGAGTCATTGGTAAGCTTCTAAGAGCTGTGCTGGAGGCTGGCTGGGTGGAGAGAAGCCGAGCTATGGCAGTTGAGCAGACATGGCCACAGTGGCACAGACCCTTTGTCAGAGCTCATGTGGGCGCTTTCTTCTTGAGAGATCTTCTATTTTCTTTGCACTTGTATGGGCTTATTTGACATAAGCCCAAATATGTCAAATGCAGGCTCTTAATATATTTTGGTTTAATTTTTAAAGCTAAGTAGAGGCAGATGAAAGTCTGTCAGTGTGATATAATTGCAAAACTAATGAGAGAATTCTGGAGCTTAATCTTGTCTCTGCTGTTTTTGTTAAGTTTCCCAAAGGGGTACTGGCTCTACCAAAAATATGATAAAAATTAAATATTGATGTATTGATTCTAATAATTGTTACATTTCTTTTTTTTTTTTTGAGTCAACATTGGTTTTATTTTATTTCTTTTTGATTCTCTACTCATGCTTTCAGAATTTGATCGTTTTGCTGTTTATTTTTTATCCACCTTTTATTTTTTTTACTTTTTAATTTTTTTTTTAATTTTTTATTGTTGGTTGTTCAAAACTTACAAATTTCTTGACATATCATATTCCACACTTTGATTCAAGTGGGTTATGAACTCCCACCTTCACCCCATACACAGATTGCAGAATCACATCAGTTACACATCCATTGATTTACA